GGAGGTCTGCTCCGTAAGTTAATCAGTTCGTAAGTCCAACTTCACTTCAAACATGTTGTACGGCATGTACACTAAACACGGGGAATGGCTTCAAAGGTTGTATCATCTCCTGTTGATGTAGATGCCACTGGGATCTTTATGTTCTGCAGATGTAGATGCCACTGGTGTCTTCATGTTCTGCAGATGTAGATGCCACTGGTGTCTTCATGTTCTGTAGATGTAGATGCCACTGGTTCTTTACGTTCTGCAGATGTAGATGCCACTGGTTCTTCACGTTCTGCAGATGTAGATGGCACTGGTTATTCACGTTCTGCAGATGTAGATGCCACCGGTTATTCAAGTTCTGCAGATGTAGATGCCACTGGTTCTTTACGTTCTCCAGATGTAGGTGCCACTGGTTCTCCACGTTCTGCAGATGTAGATGCCACTAGTTCTTCAAGTTCTGTAGATGTAGGTGCCACTGGTTCTCCACGTTCTGCAGATGTAGATGCCACTAGTTCTTCAAGTTCTGCAGATGTAGATGCCACTGGTTCTTCAAGTTCTGTAGATGCCTCTGATTTCTCAAATTCTGCAGATGTAGATTCCACTGGTTCTTTAATTTCTGTAGATGCCACGAGTTCTTCATGTTCTGCCGATGTAGATGCCACTGGTTCTTTAGTTTCTGCAGATGAGGATGCCACTGATTCTTCATGTTTTGCATATGTAGATGGCACTGGTTCTTCACGTTCTGCAGATGTAGATGCCACCGGTTATTCAAGTTCTGCAGATGTAGATGCCACTGGTTCTTCACGTTCTGCAGATGTAGATGCCACTGGTTCTTCACGTTCTGCAGATGTACAGTGAGGGAAAACGTATTTGATCCCCTGCTGATTTTGTACGTTTGCCCAATGACAAAGAAATGATCAGTCTATAATTTTAATGGTAAGTTTATTTGAACAGTGAGAGACAGAATAACAACAAGAAAATCCAGAAAAACGCATGTCAAAATGTTATAAATTGATTTGCATTTTAATGAAGGAAATAAGTATTTGACCCCCTCTCAATCAGAAAGATTTCTGGCTCCCAGGTGTCTTTTATACAGGTAACGAGCTGAGATTAAGAGGACACTCTTAAAGGGAGTGCTCCTAATCTCAGCTTGTTACCTGTATAAAAGACACCTGTCCACAGAAGCAATCAATCAATCAGATTCCAAACTCTCCACCATGGCCAAGACCAAATAGCTCTCCAAGGATGTCAGAGACAAGATTGTAGACCTACACAAGGCTGTAATTGGCTACAAGACCATTGCCAAGCAGCTTGGTGAGAAGGTGACAACAGTTGGTGCAATTATTCGCAAATGGAAGTAACACAAAAGAACTGTCAATCTCACTCGGCCTGGGGCTCCATGCAAGATCTCACCTCGTGGAGTTGCAATGATCATGAGAACGGTGAGAAATCAGCCCAGAACTACACGGGAGGATCTTGTCAATGATCTCAAGGCAGCTGGGACCACAGTCACCAAGAAAACAATTGGTAGCACACTACGCCGTGAAGGACTGAAATCCTGCAGCGCTCGCAAGGCCCCCCTGCTCAAGAAAGCACATATACATGCCCGTCTGAAGTTTGCCAATGAACATCTGAATGATTCAGAGGACAACTGGGTGAAAGTGTTGTGGTCAGATGAGACCAAATGGAGCTCTTTGGCATCAACTCAACTCGCCGTGTTTGGAGGAGGAATGCTGCCTATGACCCCAAGACCACCATCCCCACCGTCAAACATGGAGGTGGAAACATTATGCTTTGGCGGTGTTTTTCTGCTAAGGGGACAGGACAACTTCACCGCATCAAAGGGACGATGGACGGGGCCATGTACCGTCAAATCTTCGGTGAGAACCTCCTTCCCTCAGCCAGGGCATTGAAAATGGGTCGTGGATGGGTATTCCAGCATGACAATGAACCAAAACACACGGCCAATGCAACAAAGGAGTGGCTCAAGAAGAAGCACATTAAGGTCCTGGAGTGGCCTAGCCAGTCTCCAGACCTTAATCCCATGGAAAATCTGTGGAGGGAGCTGAAGGTTCGAGTTGCCAAACGTCAGCCTCGAAACCCTAATGACTTGGAGAAGATCTGCAAAGAGGAGTGGGACAAAATCCCTCCTGAGATGTGTGCAAACCTGGTGGCCAACTTCAAGAAACGTCTGACGTCTGTGATTGCCAACAAGGGTTTTGCCACCAAGTACTAAGTCATGTTTTGCAGAGGGGTCAAATACTTATTTCCCTCATTAAAATGCAAATCAATTTATAACATTTTTGACATGCGTTTTTCTGGATTTTTTGTTGTTATTCTGTCTCTCACGGTTCAAATAAACCTACCATTAAAATTATAGACTGATCATTTCTTTGTCAGTGGGCAAACGTACAAAATCAGCAGGGGATCAAATACTTTTTTCCCTCACTGTAGATACCACGGGTTCTTCACGTTCTGCAGATGTAGATGTCACTGGTTCTTCACGTTCTGCAGATGTAGATGCCACTGGTTCTTCACGTTCTGCAGATGTAGATGCCACTGGTTCTTCACGTTCTGCAGATGTCGATACCACTGATTCTTCACGTTCTGCAGATGTAGATGCCACTGGTTCTTCACGTTCTGCAGATGTAGATGCCACTGATTCTTCACGTTCTACAGATGTAGATGCCACTGATTCTTCACGTTCTGCAGATGTAGATGCCACTGGTTCTTCACGTTCTGCAGATGTAGATGCCACTGGTTCTTCACGTTCTGCAGATGTAGATGCCACTGGTTCTTCACGTTCTGCAGATGTAGATGCCACTGATTCTTCACGTTCTGCAGATGTAGATGTCACTGGTTCTTCAAGTTCTGCAGATGTAGATACCACTGGTTCTTCACGTTCTGCAGATGTAGATGCCACTGGTTCTTCACGTTCTACAGATGTAGATGCTACTGATTCTTCACGTTCTACAGATGTAGATGCCACTGATTCTTTACGTTCTACACATGTAGATACCACTGATTCTTCACGTTCTAAAGATGTAGATGCCACTGGTTCTTCACGTTCTGTAGATGTAGATGCACTGATTCTTCACGTTCTGTATATGTAGATGCCACTGGTTCTTCACGTTCTACAGATGTAGATGCTACTGATTCTTCACGTTCTACAGATGTAGATGCCACTGATTCTTTACGTTCTACACATGTAGATACCACTGATTCTTCACGTTCTAAAGATGTAGATGCCACTGGTTCTTCATGTTCTGTAGATGTAGATGCACTGATTCTTCACGTTCTGTATATGTAGATGCCACTGGTTCTTCACGTTCTGTAGATGTAGATGCCACCACCGCCATCTGTTGCGCGGCGGTTGAACTTACGACCCTCGGTCCGAACAGGCAACTGGACAGAGGGACCAGCTTTGTTCGTCGTATGTCTGAACGGTAAAAGAGTAACAACAACAAAAAATAGCAACAGCAATGACTCGTGAAGTTCTTCTCTCTCCCTCCCTGCAAAAATTCTCGGGCCACGTTTTTTGTGCCGAGTGTCAACATTCTCTCTTCCCCGTCCGAAGCTCGGAGCCTCCGCGCGGGGTGTGAGGGCGATTGGGGAACAAAGTTCGATGTCTGTGGGGAGTGGGGGGAGTGGGGGGGGAGTGGGGGGGAGTGGGGGGAGTAGGGGGCTGGCGGATTAACGCTGCGCCGCGCTACGAACCCGGGTTCGATTCCCGCTCACGGCCACCAACACCCCCCTAGGTCGACTCAGCCTTAAATGAGTTACCTGGTGCGATGTGTAAACATCTCCACGAGGGGGGGGGGGGTGAGACAAAGGCGGCCGGGCGTGGTGCTGACCAACCCACCCCCTCGTGTGCCACAGTGCCGGCCTTTACAGGTGCTGCTACTCGCCAACAGCACTTGGCCTCAACAGTCTGCTCAGGCTACACGGGGAGGGAATCTTTGTCTTTAGTTATATTTGGGTCGTTTATTTCAATTGTCGACATCAGCGAAGATGCGGTGCAAGTCGGAGATGCGCGCACGCCGCCACCGCCTCCGTTATCAGCGCCGGATAATTCTCTTACACCACCCCCCCTCGGTATCTCGTTATCGCCGACACGACAAACGGAGATAACACCACCCCCCCCACCCCCATGCCGTGACCCAGGTAGGTCGGCCGCGCGTACACGGTATGACAAAACCAGCCCAATCAGCTGTTCGCTTAGCCCAGATGGGGGCTGGATGAGGGGGGGGGTAACCATGCAAGCTCACTATGGACTGGGTTTTTGTTGTTGCTAACGATCCGGCGAGTCCTCTCGGCTTGACGCGTCGGTGGTGGCGGTTAGACGCGTTCCCCGAAGTGTGCCGCTCTCGCGAGCGAAAAACGCGGTGAGCGGAAAACAATTCCCCGCCACCGTGAATGGTGTCGCGACGACGATAAAAGTTTGGCGAGATACGAATGCCGCTGCCACCGCTGCCACCGCTGCCACCGCTGCCACCGCTGCCACCGCTGCCACCGCTGCCACCGCTGCCACCGCTGCCACCGCTGCCACCGCTGCCACCGCTGCCACCGCTGCCACCGCTGCCACCGCTGCCACCGCTGCCACCGCTGCCACCTAAGCGCGCCACGGGGTGGTTGTCGCGTTCCTGAAGAACATCACGTTACGGAAACATCGCGTTGTAACGAATAAAAATATAACGTGGTGGTGGGGGGGGGGTAAGGCAACAGTCCGCGATAACGGGCGCGATGCGTAACGGCGGGGCCCGGTGGGTTAGCAATCCAGAAGGATCCAGCAGCATCCCCATGCTTTGTAGGACGACGACGCTACGCTACGAGGCAGCCGTCACACCCACCGCTCGTTGCTGACTCGCGCGACCGTCGGGGGGGGGGGGGGGGGGGGAGGGGGGTTCCGCTCTGCTCAATCGCGTTACGTAAAAGTTTGCGTTCCCGAATACATTCGTCGTGCTCTCCTGTGCACATCCACATTCGCGTGCTCAAAACGACACGGAGGACAGCGCTGTAATCGATTAAACTCGTGAGATTCTTTATTGGCAAGCTTTGGCCAAGTCTTCGGTGAGTATATATTTTTTTATTGTGCGTGGGTGGGTGGGTGGGTGCGTGCGTGCACAGTACAGGCGAGTAGAAATCAGCGTGATAGAGGTTTTTGTGTTACATCGCGTACATATATAGAAATGTCGCTAAAACCCGCCACCACCCGACACAGCCAACCAGTAAGGGTTGTCACGTAAACAGAATGTGGCCAATTCGCCACTCGTACAGCACACCGGTGTGTTGGAGAGCCAAGCCACAACATTTACAATCTGAGTCTGACGTTTGCCAGTAATTACAAGTAGCTTCAGCAGTGCCCATGCAAAACCAAGAACCGATGCATACAGCAAGGGATAACACACAAAACAAACCCAATTTTAACACAAATATTATCCATAATAGAAGGCTTCTGTAAATGTGGGATTTACTAACGAGTTTTTTTTACGTGACAAACCCCGTTACGAATTTGCTGTCGTCGTCGTGATCATCGTCGTCATCGTCATCATCATCGTCATCGTCGTGGGCATCGTCGTTGTCGTCATCATCACCATCACATTTATATTAACACAAACCCCCAAAAAACCCACTATTATGGAAAACACAAATCAATATATACGACAATGGGTCAGTGCAGCACCCCCTTACAAAACTCTCGCCAGCACTGCCGACCACCTCCTGGCCACATCAAAGCCCTGCAAGGGTTTGGGGTTTCTCTCGTCCCCGAGGGCACAAAGAGACAAACATTCCCCCGTATAGCCTGCAACAGACTGTTGGGGGCAAGTGCTGTTAGCGAGCAGCACCTATGAAGGCCGGCACGGCACACGAGGAGGGAGGTGAGGGTGGCCAGGAAAACCACGCGCGACAGACCGCCTTTGTCTCCCCCTAGTGGCGATGTTTACACGTCACACCGAGGTACTCATTTGAGGCCGAGTCGACCTAGGGGAGGGCCCAGGATCGGTTCAGATAATCGCTGTCACCGCGCACCAACACCGCACGCGCCACTGGAAGGAATGCCAGACACGATTCACAATGGCCACCGACAACCGTAGAGATTGATTTCAGGTCGGGTGATGGCGATCCCGGGGAGTGCATCTCTCTCCCCTCGCGCTCACCGTCACTGTCAGCTACTTGTCAAGTGGGGCGCCACGGTGGCTCGGAGATGTTAACCACCTCGCCAGGTATGCAGGAGGTCGTGGCTTCGATCCCGACCCTGACGACGCCTGCTGTATATTTGGAGTTTGCGTGTCTCTCTCTCTCTCATCATCATCGTGGCTAGATGTTAACTACCTCGCCAGGTATGCAGGAGGTCGTGGCTTCGATCCCGACCCTGACGACGCCTGCTGTATATTTGGAGGTTGCGTGTCTCTCTCTCTCCCCGTGGTCGCGTGGATTTATCTTCTCCGGGTCCTCGGGTTTTCTTTCTTTTTTCTTTCTCCCTGCCCCCGCATTTAGAATCGACGTCACGCGTGCTCAGAGAGTCATTTGGCCGCCGCTCTAAATTTCCACACGACGACGATAAGCCCACTTCGTTGAGCTATCGTTTCCGATGGGCAGGTCGTTTCTGGGAAGAAAAAAAAACTACACACACAGCTCAGAGGGGGGAGGGGGGGGGCAGAGGGCCCTCTTTCCTTAGCTGGTCAAAAAATGAACAACTAAAAACGTATTGTTTTGGTTCAGTCGTCGCCCACGCCGCCTGAGGGCCCCGGACGACGCCAGCGAAGGAAAAGTTTGTTGCCAAGTTTCTCTCAAGGGGGAGTGGGGGGAGGTGATCGATTTGAAGATCATCGACGACGAGGACGATGGTCGCAGAGGCCTGGCGAACGCCGCGGACGTTCCTGACCCCCCCCCCCCCCCCCAGGAACGAGGGGGGTCAGGGTGAGATAGAATGGGGTTGGGTGGAGGCGTGGGGGGAAGGTGGGAGGGGCGGGGCGGCCCCCCCTTCTCCTCATCCTCCTCCTCTCCTCCTCCGTCCCCCGTCTACGACGCCACCACCTCCTCATCCTCCTCCACTCCGCCACCTCCTCATCCTCCTCCACTCCGCCCCCAACTCCCATCTACATTGTCGCCACCTCCTCATCCTCCTCCACTCCGCCCCCAACTCCCATCTACAATGTCGCCACCTCCTCCGCCACCATCTCCTCCTCCTCCGTCCCCCATCGACGATGCCGCCGCCTCCTCCTCCGCCACCTCTTCTCCTCCTCTCCTCCTCCTCTCTTCCGTCCCCTGTTTGCAACGCGGCCACCTCCACCTCCTCTCCTCCGTCTCCCCGTCTACAACGCCAACGCCACCTCCTCCGCCACCTCCTCCTCCTCGTCCTCCTCCGACAGCACCAGCACCTGGGCTACGTCGTCGAACTCATAGGTCCTCTTGAGGAACGTGTCCGTCAGCCGGATTCCAGACACGCTCTGCCAGTGGAGGGGGGTGGGGGGGGGCGGTGATGGGAGGGATGGGGGGGAGGACATAGGAGGTGGTGCAAAGGAGCAGTCAAATGTGAGACAAATTCTGGCAAATCGCAGCGCCCCCCCCTCCCCCCCCCGATGAGGCTGGTTGTTGTTTTTGCTGCTGCTGCTGCTGTTGTAATCGCCAGAAAAACGTCACACAGCGACTCGAACTGGGTAAGTGTTCTTGTGGGTTGTTAACTCTCCAAAAACACGCACAACACCAAATCGGTGCTGAACAAGTAACTAATTGGGGCACGTTTTGTTTACGTGACACAAGCCCTTACCGATTGCCTGTGTCGGGTGGTGGCGGGCTTCACGACACATTTATATTTATGCGATCTAACCCAAGACAAAGATGCTAGATTGCCACGTGCGGCATTTTGCAAATAACTGTCTGGGTTAAGAGCGGCTTGCTTGCAAGTCACTATTAAGGCCTGATCGGCGTTGCACAATGTATGTTGATATATGTAGAACTTCTTTTGCACCATACGCAGCCAACCGGGCGAATGAGATGTGCGGGGCGGGCGGGGGGGGGAGAAGGATAACAAACAAAACGCAAAAAGCCAGCTCTAAAGAAATGAGTTTGCCAATCTAGATGATGACTTAAAAGTGGCATAGCTCCCAGCGGCTTCCTAATCTCGGAAGGGACGATCATTCCAGGTACGGCCGCAGAAGCGCATCTCGAAGCGTCGCGCGATGATGCGGTGACCACCGTCTCCGTTCGATGGTCCAGCCAAAAGCCGCCGCCGCTGCTGCTGCGACGGCCGAAGTTTCGCATAATGACGACTGTCAACAAGCCCGGTCACATTTTCTCCCCAGTGAGTGAAGATGCTTTACAAATTCAATGTCGTTTCACGCAGCACCCTCTTGAAAATGGAACATTGAGCGGGCAAGGCTGGGGAAGGCCGGGCAAGGCTCGCTTGGCTCAAGTTGTGCATAGTTTGGGCAAGGCTGGATAAGAATGGGCATTGGCTGGGAATGTACTCGGTACGACCGGGAATGGCTTTGGCGTGGCTGGGCATGGGTGGGGTTAGGTTGTGGCGCCCTTCGTTTGCAGGCTGGGCTGGATAAGGCTGAGCAAGGCTGGGTAGGACTGGGCATGACTGGGCATGGCTGGGCAAGGCTGGGCATGGTTGGGCAAGGTTGGGTAAGACTGGGCAAGGTGGGGGGTGGAGCGAGCCCCACCCCCCACCACAACCCCCCCCATCCGTCCCCCCCAACCACCCCCCACCCCCTTCACCTGCAGGCCAGGCATGGTTGGCAGCAACATGAGCACTGCTTGGAGGCCCCCTAACCTGAAGGCTTGGGCATGGCTGGGCAAGACTGGGCAAGGTTGGGCAAGGCTGGCCATGGCTGACGAACCTCCCACCCCCCCTCCACACCCCCCTCCCTCACCTGCAGGCCGGGCATGGCTGGCAGCAGCATGAGCGCCGCTTGGCGGGACGAGGCGCTGGGCAGGCGGCCCAGGTCCCTGGCGAGGAGGCCGCACCAGCAGAGCGCGTCCGAGCTTCGTAGCTCCAGACGGAGGTCCATGGTGCGCTCGCTGCGCCAACGACAACGCCGACGACGATAACATCGTGGTCATCGTCGTCGTGGGCATCATCGTCGTCATTATCGTCGTCATCATCTTCGTCATCGTCGTCATCATCACTCACGACTATGATGTGATGATAATGATGATACTGATGATGCTAATGACAATGTTGATGCTCCTGATGATGCTGACGAGGATGCTGATGTTAATGACGATAACGACGATGCTACTGACGATGATGATGATGGCGGTAGTGATGTTGACGATGGTGATGATGATGATGCCACTACCTGCAGTTGGTAATTTTGAAGGCCACCGTGAAGGGCTCCTCCAGGTGGGCCATGTCAGGGATCGTCTCGATCTCTAAGCGCACGTCCCCGTAGCCCGGGGCCTGCAGACACGGACACACGTCACCACCGCTGCCATGATCAACATCAACACATCACCAACATTAACACTACTTCACCAACATCACCAAATCACCAACATCATTAACACCACATCGCCAATATCATCATCAACACCATCAACGCCATCAACATCATCAACATCATCAACACCATCATCACCAACATCACCACCATCACCAACATCAACACCACTTCACCAACATCAACATCGCCATTATCAACATCAACCTTACCAGCTCCTACTCCTCCCGCCCTACCTAGCCCCCCACCTCCCTCCTACTATCTCCACCTCCTCCCCTCCCAGCCCCAACACCAACACCACTTCACCCACATCAACATCATCACCATCGCCAGCGTCACCAACGCCAACATCGTGGCTTCAACCTGACCGCCTCCTACCCCTCCCTCCCCCTCCTCTCTCTCTCTCTCAGGCTCCCACGATCTCCACCCCCCCTCACCCACCCCCTCCCCTCCCCCACCTCACCCCCCCTCACCCCCCCTCACCCCCCCCCAACACGCACCACGCGCTGCAGCTGGCTGGTCTGCAGCCTCCCTCGTTCTCCCAGGTTGGTTCGCCACACGATGTCCATCTTGCCGATGTGGGTGACCCCGCGCAGGCCCCCGGCGCCCGCCTTCTCCGCCACGTCGGGGCGCGCGCGCAGCCGGTACAGGAACTGCCGCGTCTCGCCGGGGCCCAGGTAGCGCCCCTCCGAGAGCCTGGCGCGGGCCCGCGGTGGTGGCAATGGGTGGGTGGTGGTTGGTGGTGGTGGGTGGTGGAGATTGGTGGTGGTGGGGCAGGGTGGTGGTGGTGCGGGGTGGTGGGTGGTAGTGGTGGGTGGTAGTGGTGGGTGGTAGCAGCGGGTGGGTGGGTGGGTGGTGGGGGGTGGTAGTGTTGGGTGGGTGGGCGGTGGTGGTGGGTGGTGGGCGACATTTGTTACATTCGCACCATCCGATCAGCACTGGTTGGCTATGTACAGTACGAAAAAATGTCATCGTTCATACATACAAACAAACGTACCACCACCAAAGATCCCCCCGTGGAGCCTAAACAGACTGCTGGGGCAAGTGCTGTTAGCGAGCAGCACCTGTGAAGGCCGGCACGGCACACGAGGGGGTGGGAGGTAGGAGGAGCGGTGGGGAGGTTACCGCGACGCGGGGTCGGTGTCCACGACAGCGTTGAGGGGCGCGACGGCGTACAGCGGAGACGGCTCCAGCCACACGCGCTCCACGCACATGGGTGACGACGTGATGTTCTGGATCTGGGCCTCCAGGAAGACCTCCTCGCACTGCACGCACGGCGGGGGGGGGGGGGGGATGAGGGGCAGGGGGATCAGGAGGAAGACGGTGAGTTGCGGGGGTAGGGGGCGCACGCGCGCACAGATACGAAAGTAGACAAACACACACACAGACACATTTGCAGTACACAGACACGCGCACAACAAAACACACACAGAAACGCGCGCGATGGACACACACGCAGCACACACAATCACAGAAACTTGTGCAGCGCACAGACACACACATGCGCAGTGCGCACACACACAAACACGCACAGACAAGCGTAGGGCACACAGAGACATGCACAACACGCACACAGATATATGTGCATAAACAGAAGCATAGCTATAAACAGCTACACAACAACAAACACACGTGCACACACATCTCGCACAAGTTCTTCACACCCACAGACGTAAAATTCACATCATACACAAAGATATCTCACACACACGCAATCTCACACAAAGACATCACACACATACATGGATATCTCACACACACACACATCTCACACACAGACAACTCAAATGCACACACACACAGATATAACATAGACATCATACACACATCACACAGATATCTCACGCACTCTCATCTCACACACACACAATCACGCATACAGAAATCTGACACACACACAGACGTAAAATACAGATTACACACACATCACACATATCTCACGCACACTTATCTCACACACACATCACGCACACAGAAATCTCACACACACAGACGTAACATACACATCACACACGCACACAACTAAACACACACAGACGTAACATACACATCTCACACATCACGCACACAGAAATCTCACACACACAGACGTAACATACACCTCTCACACGCACACAACCAAAAACACACAGATGTAACATACACATCTCACACATCACGCACACAGAAATCTCACACACACAGACGTAACATACACCTCTCACACGCACACAACCAAACACACACAGACGTAACATACACATCTCACACATCACGCACACAGAAATCTCACACACACACACAGACAGACGTAACTTACATCTCTCACATGCACACAACCAAACACACACAGATGTAACATACACATCTCACACATCACGCACACAGAAATCTCACACACACACACAGACAGACGTAACTTACACCTCTCACACGCACAAAACCAAACACACACAGACGTAACATAGACATCTCACACACACAGATGTAACATACACCTCTCACACATCTCACACACACACACACACAGATGTAACATACACATCTCACACATCACGCACACAACACACAGAGTCGCGGCTCTCCAATGGGTCTCATGCGTCGCTCACGGCCACGGACCACTTCAACCGATCGACGGCAGGCGACCCCCCACCCCTCCCACCAACCGCACGGCACTCCAATGGCACCCCCCGCTACCGTCAATTAAAACTACGGCAAAGCGGCGGCGGTGGCGATGGTGGTGACAATGGTGGTGGTGGTAGTGGCAGTGGCGGTGGTAGCGGTGGCAGCGACAGTGGTGGGGTGGCAGCGGTGGCGGCGGCAGCTGTGGTAGCGGTGGCGGCGGTGGTGGTGGCAGCGGTGGCAGCTGTGGTAGCGGTGGCGGCGGTGGTGGTGGCAGCGGTGGCAGCTGTGGTAGCGGTGGCGGTGGTGGCGGCGGTTACGGAGGAGAGAAAAAGCGATTGGCGCAACGCGCCCCCCCCCCCCCCCCCGTTGGGGATTGAAGCGAAAGCCCCAAAGCACCCAAGTGGGGAAGACTGGAAGACGAGTTCAGCGGGGGAGCTACGACAGCGAGCCGCGTGCGCCGCACAGGAGCCTTCTGGTCCACGGAGCCCTGAGAGTCTGCTGCTGCGATGACGTTACCGCTGCCGCGATGATTCTACCGCTGCCGCGATGATTCTACCACTGTCGCAACGGTGCCACTGCTACCGCGAGATGATTCGACCACTGTCGCGATGGCGCCACCGCTGCCGCGATAATTCTACCGCTACCCTGATGATTCTACCGCTGCCCCGATGATTCTATCGCTGTCGTGACGACGCTGCCGCTACCGCGATGATTCTACCGCGATGAATCTTCCGCTGTCGTGACGACGCTGCTGCTGCCGCGTTGGCAGCAGTGCGGTAGCGTAGCGGGGGGGGGGGGCGACGCCGGATTATGGGGGGCGGGGGCCGCCGCCGGGGGGTGGGAGGGGCGCCACGCAAAGTGCAGAATGTCAACGCGACAGCATGTGTCTTGAGACACACACACAAATACAAAGATCCCCCATATATCCCTTAACAGACTGTTGGGGCAAGTGCTGTTAGCGAGCAACTATGAAGGCCGGCACGGCACACTAGGGGGTGGGTGGCCAACACCACGCCCGCCCGCCCGCCCGCCTTTGTCTCCCCAGTGACGATGTTTACAGATTGCATCAGGCACTTGTTTAAGGCTGAGTCGACCTAGGGGAGGCCCAGGATCGGTTCACACAATCGTCACTGGTGTTGAGCCGTGAGCGGGAATACAAATCGGGCCATAGCCGGGTTCGTAGCGCAGCGCGCTAACCGCCGTTACACTACCACTCCCCAAACACGCACGCACGCACGCACGCACACACGCACGCACACACGCACGCACACACGCAGGGTTCGCAAAGAGCCACCACCAGCAGCAGTAGCGCACGCAGAAGGCCACGGTGACACAAACAGCACGCGGCCCCCGCGCGGCTACGGTGAAACGGTAGAAAACTCGCGGCGGGGGGTGGGGGGGTTGGGGTTAGTAGGGGGGGGGGGGCAGCGTCCGGCGTTGCGGTTAGGCTGAAGGCGGTGGCGGGGGGGGGGAAGCGGGGGGTGGGTTGGGCAGCACCACCGGGGCCATCAAACCCAAGGGTAGAGATAAGCAGGAGGGTGGACAATGCGGGGGAAGGGTGGAGGATGTTACCACTGCACTGAGTTCGTCCTACAGGGATGGAGGGTGGGTGGGTTCGGTGGGTAGGTGGGTGGGGTATGGGGAGGGGGGGGTAGAACGAGAGACGTGGAGAAGACAGAGAGACGCAGATACAGGCAGGAAGTCACAGACGGGGACAGTGAAGGGGACAGGAATGTATACGGACACAGACGAGAGACGTCGATAGATACGGGCAAGGGCCCAAGGCAAACACAGAGAGCGAGACGGACAGAATTGTAGAAGAGACCAACGAAGGGGAAGAGATATGGAGAAAGTGGCAAATAGACGCGTAACGAAGGGGACAGAAGGAGTAGACCGTGGGAGACCGCGTGTAAAGCCAAAGACACACAGAGAGGATTGTAGACGGACAGGCAGAGAGATAGACAGAGAGACACGAAGAGTAGGAGAGAGAGAGAGAAATGCAGACAGAGAGGCACACAGGGAGATGGGCAGGAGAGAGATAGACAGAGACACGGGGAGTAGGGAGAGAGATGCAGAGAGACATAGGGAAGTAGAGAGAGAGAGAGATGCGGAAATAAATACCGAGAGAGACGTAGGGAGATGGGCAGTCGGACAAAGAGAGAGATCCGGAAAGAGGCACAGAGAGAGAGAGGGTTGGGGAGTGGATAAAAGAGGAGAGGATATGTTGGAAAAATTGTGAGAGGCACAGGTGGTGTTGGGAGGGGTGCGGTGGGGGGGATTCACAGGGAGAGAGGGGTGGGAGGGAGGGAATGAGGGTGGGGAATGAGAAAAATATAATTCAAGCGGTTACAATGAGCAAAATTAAACCAAACAACACAACCGAGAATCCACAGCCTGCAAAGTCACACAGGGCATTAGGGGAAAACAACAGCAACAACAACAAAATCATAACATGCATTATCCAATCACGTATAGCGACGACTTTAGATTTCATACCAAACATATTTGATACTTGGGGCGCGGAGGGCTGGTGGCAGTGGTTAGCGCACAGCGCTACGAACCCGGAATCCCTGAGTCTCAGTCCTGACTGCAACCAACCTCAGGATCGGTCATGGCAGCCACACCGATTCCAATGACTCGTTTTAATAGGGGTGCCTGGTATACAGGAGGTCGTGGGTTCGATCCTGACCCTGACGCCTGCTGTATATTTGAAGGTTGTGTGTCTCTCTCTCTCCCCCCGTGACCTCGTGGATTTTTCTCCGGGTCCTCACGGTTTTCCCCTCCACATTTAGAATCAACATGCTTTTAGAGTAATTTCACTGCTATACATTTCCACGTGATAATAATCCACTTTGTCGGGCTATCGTTTGTGATGGCCGGGTTGCTTCTGAAAGAGAGAGCGACACGGCTCGGTGGGGCCTTACCTCCGCGTTGTAGAACTTTGTCTTGACTTCGAGAGGCTTCAACACCTGCGGCGGAAAAAAGGAAAGTTGAACGATTTTACGTGGCAAGAATTTAAAGTATTTATTTTTTTCTTTGTCGCAGACTTCAATCCCGATCGTGCTAGCAGGGCGGGCGGGCGGGCGGGGATAGGCACAGCCACCCGTGTGTTAAGAGAACTGCCCCGCTGGAAGCAGATGTCAAAGAACCGCTTCTGAGAATCAACTTCTCAGTGACCGCGAATGGAGAGGACAAAGATGGGGGGGGGGGGGTAGGAGGGTCGGCAGCAGTGCGATGCTCACCTGGAATTTGAAAAACTTTCGGAAGTAGAGCTTCTCCGCGCTCTGCGTGGCGTAGCTGACGGCGCACACGAGGCTGTGACGGGAAAAGCCGAGGGGAGGGCGGTGATTGAACCACATGGGGTAGGGGGATAACACGCCTCGTGCCTGTATGTGTCTGCTGTCACATATAATGCTGCAGAACGGTTAGTGCTCTGCACTACGAACCCGGCGACCCGAGTTCGATTCCCGCTCACAGCCACCAACACCGGTGACGATTATCTGAAACGACCCTGGGCCTCCGCTGGGTCGACTCAGCCTGAAATGAGTACCTGGTGCGGCATGTAAATATCGCCACTATGGAGACAAAGGCGGCTGGGCGTGGTGCTGGCCACCCACCCCCTCGTGTGCCGTGCCGCTGCTCGCTAACAGCACTTGCCCCCAACAGTCTATTCGGGGCTACACGGGGGCGGGGGGGGGGACACCTCTGCATTTGTCTCACATGTGAGTTCCCAGCTCCTTGACCTCGTGGTGGATGACGTCATCGATGCAGCTGTCCGGGTGCAACTCGGCGGCAGGGGGCGTCGAGCCCCCCGACAGGTTCAGCCTCTGGCTGCTCGTCTGCAGGTCGGCCTCAACCAGCAGGGGGTGGGGTACGGAGGGGGGGGGGCGGGGGGGGAAGGGGAGCAGCGCGCAGCAAAACCGTTAACTCTCCGTTGCGCGGTTTGCCCGACCGTCGCTCGTCGGAGGACGCGGGGGGAGGGGTCGACAGACTACACGCAACAAAAAAGCCAGTCCTCAAAGAGACGAGTTTTCAGTCTAGATTGGAAAGTGCACAGGTCCACTCGTTACGCACAAAAGTGTCTGCGCAAATGAATCACGATACCTGGCTGATATCGTCGAGGAGCATGAACCATTGCGAGAACTCCGGCCATTGTCAACAGCGGCGGCTTGTGGCCGGCCATTGAACAAAGGTGGTCTTCTGCATCGCGCGGCGCTTTCACAGATGCGCTTCTGCCACCATCCGGAACGCCCTTCCTTCCGATATTAGGAAGCTATGCACTTTTAAATTACCTAGATTAAAAACTCATTTCTTTAGAACTGACGACCCCTGTATGTGTGGAGTTTGCATGTTCTCCCCGATGGTCGCGTGGATTTTCCTCCGGGTCCTCCGGTTTTTTCGCTCCACATTTACAATCAACGTGCGTTTAAGAGTATTTGGCTGATATAGATTTCCACACGAAGATGATAAGCCACTTCACTGAGCGATCATTTGTGGTCAGGTAGCTTCTGAAAAAGAGCTACATAGTTCAGTGGGGCCTCATCTGGTAAAATAAAAATAGTTCACAGTTTTATAGATTTGTTTGTGTTTAGTTTATTATCTTTCCCCCACACCTCCATTGCCTACGTACGGTGCGAAAGAAGTTCTACATAAACATTCACACTGCCCATAGACTCAACGCTGCACCTCCGATTAGCACGGTTGGCTACGTACGGTGCTAAAGAAGTTTTACAAAACACACATATATACTACCCATAGACTAACACTGCCCTCAGACTCAGTGCCACACTTCTGATTAGCACGGTGGGCTACGTACGGTGCGAAAGAAGTTCGACATACACACGTATATACTGAACATAAACTCAACGCAGCACCTCCGATTAGCAAGCTGTGGTTACGTACGGTGCGCAAGAAATTCTACGTATGCACGCACGTACACGCGCACACACATTGACTGGTGGCGACGGCCCATGCAGCGCGTCCCGACCCTCACCTTGATGGAGACGTCGCGCACCAGCTGGCTGCTGTCGTTGTGCACGCTGATGTAGCTGGAGAACGTCTCTCCCAGGAAGATGTTGCTGCACAAAGACAAGGATCCCCACCCCAACTGTGTAGCCTTTAACAGACTTGTTTAGATAACACCTACCAATTCTAGATTTGAAGCTTTCATGACTGCAAGGATCCATACTCCTTGGTTCTTTCGGTAAAGTCACGTAGATGAAAAATAAAAATAATGAAAATAATAAAATGAAAACTAAATTAAATACGACGTTTCGGGCGCAACACCTACCAAGTTTTACTGCTGTGAACTTCCACACGATGGCGATAAGCCACTTCGTTGAGCTTTCATTTGTGACAGCCAGGTCTCTTTTGTTGTTTTAACGTTCTTACCCCGAGCCCCTACTGGACATGTGAAAAAGAGCTTTATAGCTCATCGGATTCTCCAGTATAAATAAATATTCTGATTTTGAAAAAGGGCTCTATAGATCAGTGGGTCTTACCTGGTAAAATAAAAAAATACAGTTCAGTTTAGTGTGGTTTGCCCCGGAGCCCCGCACCCACCTACGGACAGCCCTGCTGATGGGATGTTTAAAATACTTAATAAATAAAATTTGATAGAGGGACACATTTATTTACTATATATTTTTATTTTACCAGGCAAGGCCCCAATGAGCTATGTAGCTCTTGTTCAGAAGCGACCTGGCTATCACAAATGATATCTCAAGAAAGCGGCTTATCATAACGTGGAAACTTATAACAGTTTAGAGTATTTGCGTAATCGTGTTTAGAAGTATTTGCCTGCTATACATTTCCGCACGGTGATGATAATCCACTTCGTTGAGCTGCCATTTGTGATAGCCAGGTCGCTTCTGAACAAGAGCTACATAGGCCTTACCTGGAAAATGTTTGTTTTAATATTGTTTTCGAGAATGGGATCGTGGGAATTCTTACCCAAAGTTCTGTGGGAGAGTCAGCATGTCCCCCAGCACCGTGCAGTCCCCCCCACTTACAAACGCTGCACGGTCGGGGGGACACTGTCCCAACAGCCCCCCTACACACACACACACACAAAGACAAAGACCCCCCCGCCCCCGTATAGCCTTTAACAGTCTGTCGGGGCAAGTGCTGCTTTGCGATTAGCGTTGATGAAGGCTGGCACGGCACAGGAGGGTGGCTGGCCAGCAGCATGCCTGGCCGCCATGCACGCACACCAACAACAAAAAATGTCAAATGTCATCCAGGCGTGACAGTCGCATGCACCTCTCATCTGCTCCACCAGCGCAACACTCACCTGCTAGGTCCCTCTCCTCGCAAGAAACGGGAAGGGCGATGTGCAGAGATGGCCGGGTGAGGCGCATCACTGCAAAAGGGCACGATGAGGGGGGGGGGGGGGGACACAGGTGGGGTCCAGAGGGCAGATGCAGGGACGAAGGGAGAGAGACAGAGAGAGGAGAGAGACACGGGGAGATAAGGGGGGAGGTGAGCGGCAAGAATCAATTGTCACGTAGACTCCTTCAAGATAAAACGCTAAACTATTTTTTTTTATTTTACCAGATAAAGGCCACTGAGCTATGTATTACAGCTCTTTTGCAGACGTGACCTGGCCACAAACGACAGCTCAACGAAGTGGCTTATCACGTGGAAATGTATATCAGCCAAATACTCTCGACGCATGCTTCTATATGTGGCGGGAAAAACCGGAGCAACCGAATAAAATCCAGGCCACCACAGGGAGAACATGACAACTCCAAATATACAGGTGTCAGGGTCAGGATCAAACCCACAACCTCCTGTATTCCAGGCGAGGTAGTTAACATCTCGCCATCTTGGCGCCCAAGATAGCCATCGAATGAAGACGGTCACCCAGATCACGCGCTTTCAGATGCGCTTTTTGCAGCCGTCTGGAATGATCTTCCTTCCGATATTAGGAAACCGCTGGAGCTATGCACTTTTAAATCTAGATCGAAAGCTCATTTCTTAAGAACTGCTTTTTGTCTATAACTTGGTCTTCCCCCGTACCTCCAATTAGCACAGTTGGCTATGTACGGTACAAAATAAGTTAAACATACACACGTAAATACCACAGCCTTCGCCATATTTCAGATGCAAAGTAGGAGTTGGTATGTGGTCAGGGCTTGAATGGATGACTAGAATGAGGCAATGTGGCATCATATGCACGCTCACTCATCTGGGATCACTCCAGACACTCTCTCCTGTGGGAGTCTCAGCAGTGAGACTATCCCTCCTGTGAAAGTCTCAGCAGTGACACTATCCCCTACTGGAGTTTCAGACAATTACTGTAGTGAGTTGTAGGTGCGAGAATAATTCACAAAACGCTGAAATAAAAATATAAAACTTTTATTTTAATGTAAACATTAACAATACAAACAACAACTTAAAGCATGCACCACATGGCAGTAAATTTTTCCTATACTTCAACATGAACCGTGACAAGAAAATAAATGTGACAACGCAGATCACAGGAGCCAGGCGTGGGTAGGTTGCAAATTAGCTTCGAGCTTCCGCCAATCATCGTCTTCATCATCATCAGCCGTGCTCTATCCACTGGCCGGGACCGCTGAGAACCTGGGATCGAATCCTGGTTTCAGCCACCGCCTGTGATTAACCTGGGTTTCAAGTGCAGCGAATTGATGACAATAATTTACATTTAGACGTATGTATATACATCTGGATTGCAAATTTATTTCTTGAGAACTGCTTTTTGTGCTTAGTTTGGCACTTATTTTGGCTAAATTCCAGCACTGAGAATTGAAAAGATCAGTTGGACCTCGGTTTATGTTAAAACAGCGGTTCTCAACCGGGGTGGGGGGAGGGGGGTAACGTGGCAATGTCCCAGGGGGTTACGTGAGGCGATTTATAAAATGTGAGTCGTTGGTGAATAATCGCGTATAAACCTGCCGATATAAATTAGCTATGATAAAATGTCTATACGTATGGTAACCTAGAAGGAGAAAAAATACCTTTCTAAACTCATTGATGGTCATGGGCGGAGCCACAGGGGGGGCTGGGGGGGGATCAGCCCCCCATGAAATTTTGGGAAAGTCGGTAATCGGGATAACCGGATATCCGGCTGCTGCAAAATGCTGCAGGCTGCTACCTTGTGCTGCCCTGCAGGCTGTCACCTTGTGCTGCCCTGCAGGCTGTCACCTTGTGTGCTGCCCTGCAGGCTGCCACCTTGTGTGCTGCCTTGCAGGCTGCCACCTTGTGCTGCCCTGCAGGCTGTCACCTTGTGTGCTGCCCTGCAGGCTGCCACCTTGTGCTGCCCTGCAGGCTGTCACCTTGTGTGCTGCCATGCAGGCTGCCACCTTGTGCTGCCCTGCAGGCTGCCACCTTGTGTGCTGCCTTGTAGGCTGCCACCTTGTGTGCTGCCTTGTAGGCTGCCACCTTGTGTGCTGCCCTGCAGGCTGCTACCTTGTGTGCTGCCCTGCAGGCTGCCACCTTGTGCTGCCCTGCAGGCTGCCACCTTGTGTGCTGCCCTGCAGGCTGCCACCTTGTGCTGCCCTGCAGGCTGTCACCTTGTGTGCTGCCCTGCAGGCTGCCACCTTGTGCTGCCCTGCAGGCTGCCACCTTGTGTGCTGCCTTGTAGGCTGCCACCTTGTGTGCTGCCCTGCAGGCTGCTACCTTGTGTGCTGCCCTGCAGGCTGCCACCTCGTGCTGCCCTGCAGGCTGTCAACTTGTGCTGCCCTGCAGGCTGCCACCTTGTGCTGCCACCTTGTGCTGCCCTGCAGGCTGCCACCTCGTGTGCTGCCCTGCAGGCTGCCACCTTGTGCTGCCCTGCAGGCTGCTTGAGCGGCAGCCTTTCGAACTTATCGAACTTATTAGCCACATCAGCGGCTCCGACCTATTAATAAATTCCGCACGTCCACCACAGCCTTCTTATATATTTGTGGCACCCATTGTAAAACATAAACACTGGATATCACAGAATATTGAAGTCAGCCCCCCCAAAGTCAAAATCCTGGCTCCGCCCCTGTTGATGGTGAACAATGCGGGTCTCCAAGAGTAACCAGCGAGCGTGAACAAATAACGTCACGCGTGCAGAGCGTCCGTTTATTTTTTTATTCGCTTGCAGTTACTAGCTTAGTTAGGATATACCTGACAAAATAGACAATTGGTGAAAACATTGATGGGACCTCCTTTGCCAGTACCAAAATATGATAATAGGTTTTCCCCCTTTTTTCTGGCAACAAAACAGGTGTTAAGATGTTAAAAACACCAAACTGAAACCTTTTACAAGGAATCATGTCTGCATTAACCACAATGCTCGTGGTCAGAATGCAAACAAAAAAACACTCTGATAACACCGTTTGAGATGAGGCTCAAAAGAAAGCTGTCTCTGGTGTGGGCCAATCAGTTTCAAGGACGATACATATATTCATCTTCTTTGGTTCTTTCGGTAAAGTCACGTAGAATGAGAATAAAATAATAAATTGCTAAAATAAAATAACAATACCGTAGTCACAATAATATTATTGTGTTATTTTATATTATCAATTTATTATTTTATTCTCATTCTACGTGACTTTACCGAAAGAACCAAAGAAGATGAATCATTGCAGTCACGAAAGCTTTAAATCGAAAGATACATATATTATCAGAGTATGTTTTTTTGCATTCTGATCGCAAGCAATGTGGTTAATGCAGACGTGATTCCTTGTAAAAGGTTTCAGTTTGGTGTTTTTAACATCTAAACACCTGTTCTGTTGCCAGAAAAAAGGGAAAAAACCTATTATCATGCGAAAACATTGACGTTCATTATTCGAACATGGATTTCTCAGCACCACGTTGGGTCAGGCAAAAGGAGGGGGGGGGGGGTTACTCAGTTGAAACAAAATTCAACAAGGGGGGGTAACAGTAGCAAAGAAAAAAAGGTTGAGAACCCCACTGCATTAAACTGCAGCACACGAGCAAAATAACAGCGACGACAAATATCAAACCGTGACTTCTGCAGTCTTTGTGTTTTCCTATGGAAAAAAATCGCTTTGCTATAATATATAGGGATACTCTTTGGTTCTTTCGGTATTTTATTTTTAAATCACAAGCATGTGTTGTGCCCGAAACGTCGTGATTCATTTTATTTTTCTACCTGCGTGACTTTACCGAAAGAACCAAAGAGTATGGATTCCTGCAGTCACGAAAGCTTCAAATCAAGAATATATAGGGGGTAAGGAAACAGTCCGCGATGGCGCGCAACGCAGGGCCCGAACAAAGGCCGAGGCGCGTGGTGGGTAGCATCTAGAAGCATCCAGCAGCATCCCAATGCCTTGTGTGAAGCTACACCGAGGCAGCCGTAACAACCGCTTGTTCCTGTTCGCTCGGTCGCGTTACATCCACTTCGCATCCGCATTGGAAGAAAAGGTGTTCCCGAATACCGTATTTTCCCGCATATAACCCGCGGGGTATACCACTTTTTACAAACAAAACAAGACCCTGCGGGGTATATGGAGGTGCGGGTTATCTGAAACTTGTTTTACACAAAACGCCATTTTTGCGGGGTATATGCATCTGCGGGTTGTATGCGTTTGCGGGTGAGATGCGTATGTGGGTTATATGCGGGAAAATACGGTACATTCATCGCGTTCTATTAAATTTGCGTTGTAAAAACGACAACACGCGGCGTTCTAGGAGACCGGACTGTGCCTGGAGCCACAAAAATTAAGCGTGACATTCGCAACGACGCAACATTACTTAATTCCCGTGGTCACGATGACCTTACACGTTAAAAGATAAGCGATTAAAAGGGGGCCCAACAATCCCTCGATGCAAGAGCTTTCCGCAACGAGTTCTTGAGACTCAACGACGAGGCGTCGCTGTGCGGATAAATATTTACAGTCCGATGTTGCAATCCGAATGCCTTGGGACCCGAAGTACAAGAAGTTGCGTGAAAAAAAATGTGAATATATGAACACCTATACAAGAAAATCAACAGTACCACCACCTTGTAAAAATAAGTTACTGGATAACAAAAAAATAAGTGCAAAGAGTAAATGGCTCTACCGAGCTTTACATCATTATCATTACGATGCATGGGGCAAATAGCCCGAAGTAGGTGTCCATTGCACATTTCGTCATTTGTGTTTTCAACTTTCCTACCCGGCCTTGTAGTGGCAATATGCGTCAAGTAGTGGCCACATCTTTCCGACACCAATCTCTTATGATGTCGACGTCCAGCTATAGTCTCTGTCAGGTCTCCCTCTCTTTCCTGTTCCTTTCCGGACACCAACACGCTTTTAACTTGCACGTTGTCGTCCATCCTACATGTATCCAAATAATGGCAGTTTCTCTTTGTCATCACTGCCAATGGCCTTTACTCAGGAAATAAACTTCCGATTTTGCTTA